TATTAATTATTATTCTTATTTTACTTCTAAAACGATTATAAGATTAAATCTTTTTTTATTAATATTATATTAATATAAGCTATAGATAATTTATTAAGATCTAAATACTTAGATATTTAATAATCTTATTTATTATAATAAAAATAATTATTCTTTTTATAATTAAAATTAAAGAAGTCGACTTTACGCTTTATATTATTATTTTAAATACGCGCTATATAAACGTTATTATTTAAAATTAATTTAGACTTTAAAATTTAATTCTCTAGAGATTTATTCTTAGTAAATTCTTTTAAAAACTTCGAATAAAAATTATTATCGAAGCGTATATATTTTAAAATCTTTTTCTATATAATAATCTAGATAAGAATTTCTTCTTATTATTTTAATATATTATTAGTATTTAGAATTTTATTTTTAAACTCTAATCTAAATTTAGTTAAAAAGAAATTAATTTAATACTTTTTAGAAAATAGAAATAAATAAGTCTCTAACTTTTTTAGATAGATTTTAAAAATAGATATCTTCTAATCGAAGCGTTATTTAATCTTCTTTTACTTTTTATATACGAGAAAATAATAATTTACTAAATTCGCTATTAAATTAAATAAAAATTACTTAAAGAATTTAAAAGTTATATCTCTTAGATTATAGATTTAATAATATTTATATTATTAAATATTAGAGTTATCTTTTAAAAATTATATATAATAAATAATTCTTAATTAATTAATAGTAAAATATTTAGAATTTATAAGAAACTTAATTTCGACTTCGCGAAATTAGTATAAATACTCTCTCTTACTAATATTCTTATAAGAATATATTTTTTTAAAGCGAAGTATTTTCGCTTTAATTAATATATTCGCTAGAAATATAATAATAATCGATATAAATAAATTCTCGCTAGCTATAAATAATAAGCTAATATTATAAAGTTTATAATTATTAGTCTTTAATATAGCTAATTCTTATTCTTATTTTAAATAACGATTTTTAATTCTAATAATTATAAGACGTTAGTTTATAGTAAGATCTTTTATTAATAAAAAATTCTTAAACTTATTATTAACGCTATAGCGACTCTCGATATTATTTTTATTTTTTATTATATAATTTAGAGATAAACTCGATATTATAATAATAATAAATCTTTTTTTTTAAAAGATAGAGAGATTAAAATTATAAAAGTGTAATTTATTAGTAATTAGTTAGCGAATATAGATTATAAAAGATATAATATCGTTATAAGATTTAATAGTATATTTAATAGTAGAATTAATCTTTAAGAAATATTAAAACTTCGAGATATATAAAGTAGATCTATATTCGCTAAGCCTCTAGATATATAAGATATATTATTAAAATTAGATTTTAAAAGAGACTTTAATATAGTATATATAATATCGACGTCTTAGCGTAAGTAGCGTTAAGGTTTATAACGTATTAGATCTAATAATAATAGTCTTATTACCGCTTAATTTCTTCGTAATATTCTTCGCATTTATCTATTATAGTTTCTTCTCTTACTTCTTCTCTTATAGAGTATTAGATTAAATAGCTAGCTAAATAACTAATTAAGTAAATAACTAATATAATATAGAATCTTAGAGAGCTAAGCCGTATTCTTAATAATAGTAGCTTTATTACCGCTTAATTTCTTCGTAGTATTCTTCGTATTTATCTATTATAGTTTCTTCTTTTACTTCTTAATATAGTAAGAATAATAGATTAAGTTATAGTAATATTCTTCGCTTACTAAGTAATAATTTAATATAAAATAATTAAGTTATAGTAATATTCTTCGCTTACTAAGTAATAATTTAATATAAAATTATAAAGAGTATATAACGTAAGATCTTAAAGAGCTAAGTCGTATTTTTAATAATAATAATCTTATTATCGCTTAGTTTCTCCGTAATATTCTCTATATTTATCTATTATAGTTTCTTCTTTTACTTCTTAATATAGTAAAGATAATAGATTAAATTATAGTAGTATTCTTCGTTTACTAAGTAATAATTTAATATAGAATCGTAGAGAGTATATAACGTGGAATCTTAGAGAGCTAAGTCTATTCTTAATGCTAAAAATCTTATTATCTCTTAGTTTCTTTATAGTATTCTTCGTATTCGTTTACTATAGTAACTTCTCTTATATTAGCTAAATAAATTAATATAAAATCGTAAAGCATCAAACGAAAAGTTAAAAATTGAAATGCAATCGCGCGTTTACGCGGAAAATAAAATCGTCGAATTAGTAAACAATAGAATCGCTAAATTCACGATTTAGTAAATCTAATAGAATACAAATTCCGCCGATTTAGAACTATCTTAATCTTTTTTACTAGTTCTACTAGTTTAATAATAATATATATAAAAAAAGAAAAGTTTTAATAATCGACGTTATAACGATAAGATTTTATAGCGATAAGTATTAACGCTAACTTAAATTTAGCTACGAAATTAAATAATTTAATAAAATTAATCGCGTAGATAATACCTAATATAGCGTATAATAATACGTATATTAATAATAATATATATTAATATCATATATATATAGAATAGTACTTAGAGTATATTAAAGGCATTACGTAAAATTTTTAAAGTTATTAAATTTTTTTAAAGTTATTAAACTAATAGAACTGGCGGAAAGAGTTAAGATAGTTACTAAATCGGCGAAAAGGATTAGATATAGATAAAGTCTACTAAATAGACTAAATTATACTAAATCGTACTTATGATACGAACCCGGCGAAATCGCGCGGAAAGGAATTTTTAGATTTGCAGATGAGAGTAAGTTTATTATATTATTACTGCTAATAACTATCTTCGTAATATTCTTTATAGTATTCTCCGTATTCGCCTATTATAGATTCTTCTCTTATTTAACTAAGTACGAGAATATCGAGAATAAATATATTTATATTAATGAAATTAATAGAATTAATAGAATTAATAGAATAATAAAAGAAGAATAATTATATAAATAGATGAAAGAATTATTATTTAATCTCGAACGCGTTTAATATAACTATAATATTTAAATATTAGTTTAATTCATCTATCGCTAGCTTAGAAGAAATATATAGAGAAGAATATATTCGTTTAAACTCTTTTTAAGAGTCTTTTAACGCGTTTATAAGTAGTAGTAGATAGCTATTAAGCTCGCTTACGGCCTCGATTATTAGTAATAGCGAATTTATCGAGAAGTAATTTAAGAATATTAGTAAGGGGCTCTAATTAGACGAGAAGTATCGAAGACGATTATATTTATATTAATGAAATTAATAGAATTAATAGAATTAATAGAATTAATAGAATTAATAGAATAGTAAAAGAATAATAAATAGATAAAAGAATTATTATTCGATCTCGGACGCGTCTAATATAACTATTATAACTATTATATTTAAATATCTATTTAATCTATTAATAGTAGATTAAACTTCATTATTTTTATAGCGTTAGAAAGCGTATATTAAGCTTTATAATTTACGAAATTATAAAGTAATAGCATCTATAGAGAGCTAGTTATTTTAGAGGAGAAGACTTCTATATATAGATTTTTATAGATTTTTAATAATTACGAACGCTAATTTATTTACTCGCGGTATTTAATTAAAAAGCGTAGATCTAATAAATTTATAATTAGCTATATATATAAATTTAAGATTTTCTAATTTAGCCTTATCTTATTCTATTATATATACTAATTATAATAATTATAAATTAAGTATATAAGATAGTTAATTTATTCTATTAAAAAAGTCTAAGCTATATATTACTAGTACTAAGATTTAGCTTAATAGAACTTAATTCTTAATATCTTCTTCTTAACTTTAATTTTAATTTTAATTTTTAAAGCTTTTTTAAAGTTATACGTAGTTTCTAATTCTTTAATAATATTAAAATCTCTTTATTATTTATTAGTATATATAAAAGAATAAGATAGAGCTAAGCTTAAAAATCTTAAATTTATATATATAGCTAATTATAAATTTAGAGTTATTATATTCTTTAATTAGATTAACTAAGTTATCGTAAATAAATAAATTAATATCTATAATTATTAAAAAAATATCGCTTATTAAAGATCGCTCGATAAATAGATATATATTATTTAAATTTAAAATAACTTTTTTTTTTCTATTAAAATTTTAATTTTTTTTTTTAAATTATAGAATTAAATATAGGCTTTTAGAGAGAGAAAGAATTTCTAAATTTAGTCTTATAGTTATTTAAGCGTAAGAAATTTAAATATCGCTTATTAAAGTTCGCTCGATAGTCGAATAATCTTAATTAAATATATATTATTTAACTTTAAAATAACCTTTTTCTTTTCTATTAAAATATTAAGATTTCTTTTTTAAATTATAGAACGAAATATAAGCTTTTAGATAAAAAAAGAATTATTAAATTTAGTCTTATAGATATTTACGAAGATCGATATTAAAAGTTCTAGATATATTAAGATAAGAGTTTAGACAAGTAAAGGCCTATGAATTAAATTCATAAAGTTGGATTTTTCATTTTTCTAAATCAAATGGAATTGGATTTTTCTAAGTCAAATCGAATTTTAGCCCTAGCCCTAAATCAAATCGAACTCTAATCGCTTACTATGCGTTTTTAATCTACTTCCACCACTACAAAATTGATTTAATCTATATAGTATAGGCATATATATGCGGAGAGAGGCGCGCTAAGGCCTAATTAGGAAGGTATATCGAGTGTGGAGGATTAATCCGTAATAATTATCTATAAAAAATAGAGAAAGGCTATATCCTTATAGCAAGAAGTATCGAAATACCGGAAAGAAATGGAGATAACGTGTTAATTAGTGGTGTGAATCCCATAATATCTCCTGCCGCAGTAAAATCTTTCGAATAATGAGATAGCTATAGACATCGGACGGTTTCAATTCGTCCAAATATACATCGTCCGATGTCCCTCCTACAGAGGCCCAATTGACTGTGATCGTCGCAGTAGATCCTCCTCTTATAACGTTATTGCAGTGATGTACCATATTAATGCAGTGGGGATGATAGGCCAAGTTGCAGTGGTGTTCTCCGCTTGCTGAGTGATGATTTGACGTGGGATCTTGGAGAGCTGAGCCGTGTTCTTGACGATGGTGGCCTTGTTGCCGCTTGGTTTCTCCGCAGTGTTCTCCGTAGTGTTCTCCGCAGTGTTCTCCGCATTTGCCTGTTGTAGTTCCTCCTCTTGCTCCTCCTCTTGTAGAGTATCAGACTGAGTGGCTAGCTGAGTGGCTGACTGAGTGGATGACTGATATGACGTGGGATCCTGGAGAGCTGAGCCGTGTTCTTGACGATGGTGGCCTTGTTGCCGCTTGGTTTCTCCGCAGTGTTCTCCATAGTGTTCTCCGCAGTGTTCTCCGCATTTGCCTGTTGTAATTCCTCCTCTTACTCCTTAATGTAGTGGGGATAACAGGCTAAATTGCAGTGGTGTTCTCCGTGAGATCTTGGAGAGCTGAGCCGTGTTCTTGGTGCTGGGGGCCCTGTTGCCGCTTGGTTTCTCCGCAGTATTCTCCGCATTCGCCTGCTGTATTGACTTCTCTTGTACTGGCTGAGTGGATTGGTGTGAGATTGTGGAGAGTAGGCCTGTTGTGTTACTGCTGCTGATGACTATCTCCGCAATGTTCTCCGCAGTGTTCTCCGCATTCGCCTGCTGTATTGACTTCTCTTGCACTGGCTGAGTAGATTGGTGTGAGACCGTGGAGAGTAGGCCTATTATGTCACTGCTGCTGATTACTATCTCCGCAATATTCTTTATAGTGTTCTCCGCATTCGCCTGTTGTAGATCCTCCTCTTATTTAACTGAGTGCGAGGGTATCGAGGGTAAATGTGTTTATATTGGTGGAATTGGTAGAATTGATAGAATAATGGAAGAAGAATAATTATATAAATAGGTGGAAGGATTATTATCCGATCCCGGACGCGTTTGATATGACTACAATATTTGAATATTAGTTTAATCCACCTATCGCTGGCTTAGGAGAAGTATATAGGGGAAGATATATTCGTTTAAACTCTTTTTGAGGGTCTTTTAATGCGTTTATGAGTAGTAGTAGATAGCTGTTAAACTGCGGCCTCGATTTCTAGTAGTAGCGGATTCGTTAAGGGGTGACCTGAGGGCGTTAGTAAGGGGTTCAAAAGATGGGCGGAAGGGATACGTGCCTTAGATACTTAGCAATATTTGGGCGAGGGGTATCGAGGGCGAATTTATTCATAATTGGTGGATTGATAGAATTATAGAAGAAGAATAATTATATAAATAGGTGAAAGGATTATTATTCGATTTCGAACGCGTCTGATATAACTATTATAACTATTATATTTGAATATTTATTTAATCTACTAATAATAGATTAAACTTTATTATTTTTATAGCGTTAGAAAGCGTATATTAAGCTCTATAATTTATTAAATTATAAAGAAATAATATTCGTAGAGAGCTAATTATTTCAGAGGATAAGACTTCTATATATAGATTTTTATAGATTTTTAATAATTACGAACGCTAATTTATTTACCCGCGGTATCTAATTAAAAAGCGTAGATCTAACGAATTTATAATTAGCTATATATATAAATTCAAGATTTTCTAGTTTAGCTCTATCTTATTCTTTTATATATACTAATAAAGCTAAGTATTTAATATACTTTCAAATTTCATAAATAGTATTATTATTCTTTATTTTAATAAGTATTAATACTCTATATAATAGCGACGTAGTATATATATACGAAGTATAAATATACGAAGTATATATATAATAGCGATATTAATAGAATATATAATAGTAATAATATTAAAGTATTAATTATAGCGTAGAGGAATAGAGAAAGAGTATAAAGACTTTTAATATATAAGTCTTATTTATATAATATAATAAATAGAAATCTTCTTATTATTCTCTATCTTAATTATCTTTTATTAATATATCTAATATTTAAAGTATTAATTATAATAATAAGACTTAAATTTAAATACTTATTAAGTTTTATTAATTATAAATAAAACGTTATACTATTTAAAAAGATATATTAAGAACTTATAAGAAAGTCGAAAGATAATAACTATATTATTAAAATTACGAGCTTATTTAAAAGAGGATTTAGAAGTAAATAAAGCGAATATCGAGATATATTATAAAGATAATACGTTTTAAAGATAATAACGAGTATAGAAAAGATTATAAGAAAGATAATATATAATTATACGACTTCGTTAAGCGAGCTAATAAGTATATATATAATTATATAAAGTATTATCGTTAAATAAATATAACTATATAGAAAGTATTAAGAATATTAAGAGTATTAAGTATTTTAGCGCTATTTAGAACTTTTAATATCGACTTTCATAAAGATAAGAAATTTAAATATCGTCTATTAAAAGTTTACTTATTAAATTTACTCGATAGTCTTAATTTAAAAAAAAATTTAAAATTTAATTTATAAATCTTTACTCGTATTCTATAAAAAGAATAAAGTTATAATTATAGTATTATAAAGCGTTTTATTTCTATACTTTAATTTATTATATCGTATTTTATTTTAAATCTTAATATTTTTTTAAGTATATTATCGCTAATAATAAGATTACGTTAAGTAAATAAAATTCGCTAAATCTTATTATATTTAATACTTTAATTAAGAAGACTTAGAATAAATTCTTTATATAACTTTATATCTCTTAAAAGTCGCTCTATAATTAATATTATAGAAATAAGATAGAAGATAAATTAGTTAATTATATATTATTACGAATATAATTAATAGTAATATAAGATTAATTAAGTATATAATTATTAATCATAATCGATATAGATAGAATATTTAAATTTAATAGAGTAGATTTAATAGGATAAAAAAAAAAATAAAAAAACGTTTTGTCAATATGGCACACCGTGGAGCGGGTGCTAAGACGCTAAAATTGTAGTCGGATAACTTATTTCTGGACGGCACGAGTACTTACAGTATTAGTACTACAATACGGTGTGTGAGCTTGCAGGCACGCCCGTAAGGTACTTCTCGGTCGCATGAGTAATTGTATCTGTTTCCTGCGGGACTGCGCTCCCTCAACAGTTTCATTTCGGTGTTTCTTTCTTGTCTTTATCATCTGATCCTTACATGCGATCCGGTTCAATTTGTACTCATTCTTGTGGGCCTGTCTCACAAGCATCCAAATTACGGATTATCGCAGTGTGCTGACCCTTTGAAGCTCCGAAGGTTGACCCATCCTCCAACGACCGCAATGCCAGAACCCACAACCTATGGCTTTCCGAGAACTTCTTTCGATCCTTCCACACTTCCTGATTTCGATACCGAATTCATTGACAAAGCTGATATCGATGAATTTGCAAAGGCCTTGAATGCGCCAGAGACGTCGCCTGTGGTAGCACTGAATGACTGGCGACCAGTGAGTTCAGTTCTCTTCTTGTTATAATGAAAACAAAATTAGAAATAAAACATAAACTTTAGGTGCACCAAAGAGTCAAGCGGAAAAGAGCTAGACCACGCAAAAAGCTTCGCAGAACTACAGACGAGACAAGAGAAGGCTTTGTTTACAGTATACTCAAATGGCCATTACTGCTGGTGGTGTCCGGCTGGATACTTTTCCTTACCTGCTCTTACCTCATTACACGCCTTTATATTTACGGCTACGAGCGCATGGTGACCTGGAGAGGTCAGCGGCAAAAGCTACGGCATAACCTCCGATCAAAGACCAAATATCAGGACTGGCGTATCGCAGCTCAGGAACTTGATGATCATCTGGGGAACGAGCAGTGGAAACAGACGGACGACTACGCATACTATGATCACACTACAGTCAACAAGGTGAAGGAACAGCTCAAGGTAGGTAGAACCCTGGCAAAATCCCAAGAACAGATAAAAGGTAAGTTGTCCAGGGAAGCTGTCGACAAGCTAAGGAGTCTTGTCGAGGCTTGCGTCAAGAACAACTTCGTGGGCGTGGAGAATTCGAGGCTCTATAGCGAGACGTACTATGGCACAAAAAGCCTGGCTCAGGAGTTCGTCGATGAGTTGCATTCTTCCCTGCAATATCTCCTTCAATCATCTCAGCTAAGTCAGTCTGAGAAATATTCGCTTGCAAAACATCTCCACACAAACTTTGGCCGTACAGCCTTCTGTCTTTCCGGGGGAGCGTCGTTTGCATGGTACCACTTCGGAGTGGCAAGGGCTCTTCTCGATGCCTCGTTGCTGCCGGATGTCATAACAGGAACTTCAGGCGGAGCTTTAGTTGCAGCATTACTCGCTACTCGGACAGATCGCGAGTTGCAGTCGCTGCTAGTTCCCGCTCTAGCGTATCATATCAATGCTTGCGAAGACACTTTTCTCACCTGGGCTCCTCGTTGGTGGCGCACTGGTGCGAGATTCGACTCTCTTGAGTGGGCTCGGCATTGCAGTTGGTGGGCACGAGGTAGCACTACCTTCCGGGAAGCTTATGAGCGTACTGGCCGCATCCTGAACGTGTCCTGCGTTCCTTCAGACCCATATTCGCCTACCATTCTTGCTAATTATCTCACGGCCCCGGACTGCGTTATATGGTCCGCTGTGCTCGCTTCTGCCGCGGTCCCAGGAATCCTCAACCCTGTTGTTTTGATGATGAAGAAACCTAATGGTACTTTGACACCCTATTCCTTCGGCCACAAATGGAAGGATGGAAGGTACGTAGCCCACATCGCTGTACACTCGCGTGGACTGACATCCTTTAGTCTTCGCACTGACATCCCTCTCAAAGCCCTAAATCTTCATTTTGGGGTCAATTTTTCCGTAGTCTCTCAGGTCAACCCGCACATAAACCTATTTTTCTTCTCCTCTAGAGGGGCGGTCGGCCGACCAGGTATGTACAATTGTGATAGTCTTTTCCCGAACGTTCAGCACAAAATTCCACTTATCCCCCAACAATATCGCACGACTCGAACCATTGGCCTAAAGAGAGCAGTACATGCTGACGTCGAAATCCTCTATAGTCACTCACCGGAGAGGGCGTGGCTGGCGAGGTGGTTATCTTGGTAGCGCCGTAGAGACATACCTGTACGTATTTCCGCAAGTATTCCCACCTATCCATTAAATATTTAAGATTGCTGACCACAAACTCTCTATTAGCAAGCTGGAGCTCCAAAAATTCATCAAGATTTCTAAACACCTTGAGCTTCTACCTCGGCCCCTGGGCCAGGATTGGTCAGGGATATGGTTACAGCAATTCAGTGGTACCATCACTATCTGGCCTAGAAGTCGAATTAGTGACTTCTGGTACATTCTATCGGATCCAACACCTGAGAGGCTGGCCAGGATGCTTCTAGTAGGCCAGCAATCTACTTTTCCGAAGCTTCTCTTCATTGAAAATCGTATAAAAATTGAAAGACTTATTGAGGAAGGTCTCTTACTCGGAGGCTCTGGTAAGGCGAATGGGGAAGGCATGGTTTTAAGAGATCGACAAAGTATGCACATGCATGGTCAGGCGGTGAGAAGCTCAGCAGAACCGTCGACCGAGGGTGAAGATGAGCGATCACATCGGGAAAAGGAAGACAGACGAGCCAGTGTGGTTGAAGAGCTGAAACGGCAGGGTAGCATCTTTCATGACGACTCTGAGATTGACGGGGAAGATACCGGCATGAGCGAGGATGAAACGGCGGTTGCGCTTGAAAATGGACATGACAAAGAGGAATAACCGTGCTAGAAGTGGTAAAGCACTAAAGCAACCTCCCTGTCGTTGATGCATAGCTTGCGCTGAGCAGGAAAGTACAAGTCGATCCCAGACTCAGTCAGTATACGTCTTTTCTCACAACCTAAGAGGTGTTGCGACCGTCACGCTTGGCTAGCGGCGCTATTTGCGCCACGCCAGTGAACCATGGTTATCTTTTGTGGCTGATTTCAAGAATCACAATGAAGCTCAACGCAATCACATTCTCTATCGTGTAATCTGGATTCTGTGAGGAGGGTATTCAATACTTTTGGTGTAGCTAAGAGGTGCTGCAATGTCCAGCATTGCAGCCTCGCAGGTATCTAGACAATTCAGAAGTTGGGTACACGCGGAAGAGCCAAAGAGCAAATCCAGCATCGCATTACCTTACATGTCTTGTTCCTTTCTTGATTTCCCTTTCCATAATCTGCCTTCATGACAGCCCTCTATCGTCGCTAATGATATGCTGCCATGATCCATCGCGAATGAAAATGAACCCGCTAAATGGACAATCGCTCCAAAACTCGTCATCCTGTATTGGTACACGCTGGCTCTCAACAGGCACACGGTTATCATGACATTAATTGCTGTATCTCCGATTCGTCCTGGATCCGAGGTCCTTTCTCTTCGTCTGTTGCGTTGTGCAGGGCCTCCGCCCTTTTGACCGTTTGAACATCGAGATCGGTGACGTAAGACTCGCCATCCCCAAAACGCATACGGACCTCAAAATCGTTGTCGAGCATCATGTCATCCTTCCAGAGGCGACGTGACCCATCATACACACACAAGACTCTTTTCTTCATCTTCATCTGATCTTTGGGGCAACCCCATGAGACAGGGTAGTGCTTTCTCCTTCTCCGCCCCTTTCCAACCAAGGGAACGCCTCCTTTAGAAGCTGTCATACCGCGACCTTTTCCGTTCGATGACATGCGGCCAGACTTTGTGATGGAGTTGCCACCCCCAGCGTGTCCGACACCCTGGGGATGTGCTGATTGTCAACATGAGTTGCCTCGTCGAGAGACGATTTCTCCTTTGCCTGAGCGAGTGCTCGACCTAACCAACCATGCCTGGTTATCTTCGCTAGACTCATCTTTGAAGTCATCGTCATTCTCGTCACCTTCCTCATCGTCGAAGGCTGTTGCATTGACGTTGAAGTTGGTTTCAGCGGAAATCATGTGGCGATCCATTGTGTCGCGGACTGCTTCATCGTTGGCTACATCACCGAGGTGCTGCTCGTTGATGGCCTCACTGGGTTCCTCCTGCTGCACCACGCGAAGAACACAATCGTCCAAATGCTCATAGAATTCTTGTGCGTTCTTGAACGTTGCGGAGCAGGTGGAACACTTGCCAGTCGCGTCAACAGCTTGCGTCGACATCTTCTTGTTCGTGGAAGAATTTGTACTCTTCTTGCGGCTGTTTGGTGGCGTCTGTTCTACGCCGTGAACAGAGGTAAGGTGGCGCTTGAAGACGTCTGCACGATTGAAGCTCTTCTCCGAGGCTGAGCCGGATCCTGGGCAGAACCCACAGACCATATTCCCTTTGTAATGGGTAAGGGTATGGCGATTCTTGTCATACTTGCGAGCGAACCCTTTTTGGTGATAAGTGCAAGTCGTGATTGGGCACTTCTCAGGTCTCTCTGATTGATGGGTAAGCATATGCGCTTTTAGATCCTTGAATGGTCTACCGCAGTCCGGATGCGGGCAGCGAGTCCTCTCTTTACCATCGTCGTCGAAACCATAGCCATTGGATCCTGGACTGTCCAAGGAATTTCGAGAAGGACTCGACGCGATCGAGAATCTGCGTGCGTCCAAGCCTTGCGGGTACGGCTGGTAAGAAGTGGTGTGGAGGTAGGGCGATGTAGTGCCACTTCGGAACCTGGCCGATCCTGGTCGATGCGAGTCTTGACTAGACGTCTCCGACGCAGCGGGCGACGGTGGCTGAAATATTTGCGATGGTAGATGATGGAACGCGTGAATAGCACTGGGGTAAGGTGCAGTAGTAGTGTTGTGAGTAGTAGGTGTGTCGAATTGTTGGATAAGTGAAGGATCTAAAAAAGACCAGAGAAATCAGTTCTAAGCGGCCAAGGTTAAAGCGGACGGAAAGAAGAGCGAATAAAAGGCACGATATTATTTTGAAATGAAGGAAAGGGAGACAGTAAGGAAAACCGACAAGATGACTCAAGCGGAGCAACAAATCTGCCACTACTTTGACCAAAGAAAGGACTTTGAGATTGACCATAACGAGCTTGACGCTGAGAAGTTGGAGGTGGTGTAGCCCGGTCGCAGGGATGACAACGCTCCGGAGACTGCTGCCGGCTTCGTGGTGTTCTCACATGATCCAAAGGGATGATTGGATGTCCGAGGAAGACGTGGTCCGCTGAACCATGCGGCGAGGTAGCACGAGATGGAAAGCGAGATGCGGCAGGCGCTGGCGTCAGAGGAGATGCGAACGAGCTATTTCTTTGAGTAGGCGAGGTGGTCCGATGCTTGCTTGTGAAAGATGTCGGCGAAGCTGCTGGGGACGCTGCGGAAACCGGTGAAATCAACTGCACGGATTTCCGGATTTTGCTGTTGGCTTCTTCGAGGATCGAGTCGATGGTAACGTCTTTGGCAACGGTGGTCGTGTCCAGTGCTAATGGCCGAGAAGAAAACGCGGGTACAAAATTTTGCGGCGCTAAACCAGAAAATACCGACGAAGCAAAAGGCTGACTGAGAGGAAACAACGGAGAAAAATTCTTTCCACACTCACCAACATAATTCGGAAACTTGCTATCTTCCAGCATCAAATCGGTTTCGAAGTTCGCTGGTGGGAATGAGTCTTGACTGAAAGTTTCGCTGCTTACGATCCCCGGTGCAATGCCCAGTCCATGAAGTGAATCAGACCATTTGTCTTCATATGGCAGAACATGCGTCGCGCTTGCATAAGGCGAGCCATCAGTTGATGAGGCTGTGCTTTGGGCGGAGGCACCCGAAGCAGATGACAATGTTGATGGCGGATGGTCGAAGGCTTGTGAGATTGAGGGCGAGGGAGACCCTGAAGGTGTTTGCCGGCGCAGAAGCCGTCCCATGTTGCCTTTGTGGGTCTCATACGGCACGTTTTGTGCTCCGAAGTAGGCCGACGGGGCAGAGGAGTAGGCGGAGACTGGTGGGTATGGCTCGTAGGATGTGCTGGCCTCGCCAGAGAAATCCCCGTACTGATGCATGTTGCTCACAGCGTTTGGCTGGTAATGCATATTTCTGAAGTTGTCGCCCAGCCTGGGATCCAGAGTGCCCATGTATGCTTGATCTCGGGGAAAAAGTACGAAATCGCTGGCGCCGCTATAGACCTTTGCCATTCCCCAAGCCAGCGGTCGAGACCTTAGGCGTAAGCTGTAGCAGGTAGTTGTATGCAAAGAATTACCGCTCAATGAGCTAGCGGCACGTGAGTATATTTGACGCAAAGATTTAGAGAAGAGCAATACCTGCACTAGAGTATATAGAATGGACTCGAGATGAAGGAGGGGAAGAGTTAAGCAACAGCGGGGGAATGTGATGAATACTCAATAAAGTATTAAGGTGATTACTGGAAGTGTATGAAAAGTTTTGAGAAAGGAAGTAAGACGACGATCAAGGCGCTGAAACGCGAGTGGGGGGACAAATGCTGATCAGCTCTCGGTAATATCGAGATGAAGAGGGAGGGTAGTAGGAGAAAAGATTATTTGGATGATGATGATGATGATGAGATGGATCAACAACATTCAGGCACGTTGGGGGCTGCCTTGTGCTTATAGACTGGGGGAGGGTGGTGGTTGCGCCGGCCATAACGAACCAACTGATGCGCAGCAGTGCAGTGCAGGGCAAGGTGACATTTTGGAAAAGAGAAAAAGGGCATTAGTGTGTTAGCTGCATATTCAGGAAGATGGTAGCTCAGGGAGCCAGCCTTACAGATGATTCCCGAGAAGAAGGGCATGGCAATTTGGGGGCAAAGCTCCGAAGCTAAACATTTCAATCAAGGCACGATATTACTCAGCGCCGGAGTCATCTTCTTAGAGGACAAGGAGCTATGTACGATGATGTATGAATAGCCACATGTGGTTCCTGAGAGCGTGTGTACAACGTGGGAGACTTGAAAGCCGAATTCGATCGCGAATTCGAAAAATAGACTTGCTTGCATAGATAGTCGACTGCGCAGGCTCACTCACCCTCGCGGTGAAATAATGGTGCCTGTTGATTGGGAAGAGGATGATGAGCGGCCGAGAAGCGGTGAAGTGGCAGAGGAGCCTTGCTTCGCATCGACTTTCTAACTTCTACTTAACAGAGGAAGATCAAGATAGCTTTTACCCTACCCGCATCGCTAGCTGCATCAAAAGTCAGAAGCCGAGATAGCGTTGGCAGGGCCTGGAAGAGAGGAAGTTAGGAAGAGAAGGCTGAGTCCCGAGTCGGGGGTCCCCTGTTCCGTTCGCTAAAGTGTTTTATTTTGGGATCTCCAATGGTGGAGGTCGAATTGGAACTAGAAAGCCTAGGTGCACTACTACTCTTTTATAATCAAAGTCATTGGCTTTCGGTGTACTCCGTAAACAATGGAAATCATTCATACAACTTCATACATGGTACCTAGTACCTTAGTAGCTCGGGCTTGACAGCAGAGTGGGATACAAGCAAAGCTATAGTTAATGTAGAAGTCAATGATCATCGTCACGTACTTTAGAGTAAAAAAATCATCCAATCATCCAACGTGTGATCCCGTCTAGAAGGGGGGCCCATTCTCAAAGCAGTAAAGCCTGGCGTCGACATATCGCAGTAAGCCTTTCGGGGCTGTGTTAGTCGCCGAAGGAGCAGTTTGGCAGCAAAGTTACCAAACAGACACCGCCATTCAAAAATTCGAAATCAAAATATATTCGGGCCAATCCTATCAAAGGACCAAGCCTCAATGTGGCCATGCGCATAGCTTCATGCGGTTCGTCCTGTAAAGATATGTCATCATCCTGCCTCCTTTCCGCCAAAGTCGACCTGCTAAACTAGGCGCCTCATGACAGCGACGGAAGGCGTAAGATGAAGCAATTTATTTGATGCCAACGACTCTGTCTTCGCGACCCCGCGCACCTTTGTTCTCCACTGTCTTTCTGCGCAAGTGCGCACACGGCTTAGGCAACCCATCAGCGATTGCAGGATTGACCATCAAGATGCTGGATTCCAACCCAGCACTTTCCTTGGATCGTAGAAAATTAGTAGGTAGGTACTTGAGAGTCATATGAGTAATCTCGGTTAGATAAGTGTCAAGATGGAGATGCGGTTGGCTTCGAAGGATTCATAACCCTGAAGGACTCGTGGTCCGTGGAAAGAGGAGGAGCTTCGCTGGAGCCCAAATGTTTCATCTCCACGTGCTGTGGACTCGTGGAAAGACGGTTGATCGACGCTATGCCTGTCGGATTGAGGCGGGAGTCCTCTTCCCCGGGTCCAATGGGTACCCAGTATCCACACATTACACGTCTCTAGGACTCTGATTTCCAAATAATGTCCTGCAGGATCCACAGGAAATACCCGTTGAAACGACATATGAGGCTGATCCTCAGGGTGTGGCACGCACGGTATCATCGTTGCCGCGTTTCATCCGCTAAAAAGTGGAACGGACTTCTGGACTGTGATTTGCTCAATCCTGTTTCTTGCTTCGTAAATCATCTTGGTGGAACGGTGGAACACACCCTACCTTTCGTACCTCCGGACCAAGACAGGAAGAGCCATCATTAGTGGAACGACGAAGTGTGTTCCCGCACTTCACACCATTCTCTCATTCCTTGATCAACGCCGCATCTAACAGTGTAACAGTGTGACACAACACAAAAAGGTACGAGCCGAGAACTTTTTGGGAATAATCAAGGATCTCTCTCGCGTGGTCGATTCACACTAAATGTGTAGGGCTAAGGTAGGTACCTCCGTATAGCCTTGCAGATTATACTTCTCTATGAACCGGAGCGACTAAGTGTATTTTTTTACCTTCTTACTGTCGTTGGTTGCAAATCAGTAACAATATGCTTCCTTCTGGGGCTGCCGTTCTATGTTTGCAGTTACGTTTGATGCTTTTATTCGTTGGGAACGTACAAGCTATTCTCATCATCCAGGGTGTCGGATGCAAAGTTCTATCATTAGCACCGGTCTGTCCGGCTACCCCTCATTTCTTGGAATCTTTATTCCATACTACCTACTTTCAATCCATTCGATATTCACTCTCCCTCTAGTTCCTTCTTCACTCTACCCCCACACTTTCGCAACGATCTTCGAGCTTGTCAGCGTACTCTACTTCCACTTTTAATTCCGATGCACCCGTGGCCCCGTCTATCCTTGACCAATGCATCGTACCCACGGCGGCGAGTCCGACCGCAACTGGCGGCACATGGTCGACAGATGTCAAAGAATCTAGAGGATATTTGGAGGCTTGACAACGTTTTGCTGGTACCTTATAACATTTCAGCTGCCGACATCGTGGGCCCAACGCTAAACATGATGTTCATGCGTCTGGAAGGTCCCTCCACTATTAAACACGCCTGGTCTCACTCAAATCAACGAGGCTGAAGGATTCGTCGAACATCACCTCACCTTTTTAGTTCGAGCCAAGCCAAGCTACTTGTCTGCATTCCAGGACACAGTCTGCGTTGCAGATCCAGGAAACCCCACTAGCACCAGGCAGCCATGGTCATAAAGCGAGCGAAGCGTGCTGTGTGTGTCTGTGCATCTGTACATTGACTATGTCAAACTGCGACTGATGAGACTCCTTCTGCTCTGAAGTCCATCTCTCCGCATCAAGTGTATGCGTTGGCAGCTGCTTAATGGATATCAATTTGACAGCAAACAGGGAGTGCGTGGACTCGAAACTATGACCATATCATAAGTTTGCCACTGGGCCTCGCCATCCCCAACCGCCAGGGACAGTATCGTCAAGCTGACGCATGCCTGATGCTTCGCATATCTTGATCACCACCTCCCGGACTGCTTTGACCTCTTCAACACTCGCACCGTGGTTTAAGCAGCCTTTTATGTGGCCTTTCAGTTGTGCTGGGACCTTATCTCTTAGTCAGTGAAAGAAGCGTGGAAAAATACTGGTCATTTCACATCTTGGGGTATCAGCCCTGCCACAAGAACAAAGCTTGTCTCACTAGCACTCAGAATGTTTGTGTTACTCAATATATATCCGTACATCAACCGAGCCGTGATGCCCAGATCTTCTGTCCCACTTCTGTCCATCTGAGACATAACACGCTTGGAGACCTTTCCGTAAACCTTGTCGAAGAACTTTTGCCCTCGGTGTAAGACTGCTGACTGAGGAACATCGTATAGATCCGAAGGTCTAGCAGTAGGAGAGTAGCCCAGTGGTTCATCGAGAAGTGACGGTGGAGTTGCGGATTTCAAGGAGAACAGAGCGTTGATTGCCTTTGTAGACGGTGTGATTAGCATCTAGCCCAAGAGACTGAAAACATCGTGCGACGTGATACTTTTGGTAATCCACCTATTGGGGCAGCCTTCACCAATGCCTCCCTCATCTTCCGCACAATTTCCAACTGCTCATCATGTCCTGGCTTAGTGTCACAACTACCTGGCCCTTTTTCGATGGCGTGCTTGAAAACAGTAGCAATTTCATTAGGCAAGTTCAATACCGACAATGTGACGCCGGTCAAAAAATACCATGCATGACGTGGGAGATGCGGTTGTCCTCGAATTGAAGCAAGCAGCGCTGGCGTTATGACAGAGACTGGTGGCATGACTTGAATTGAATGTCAAAGCTATCTTGAATCACCAAGCCATTGAGGAAGAAAGTTATTCAATTCTAGGCTCGTGTAAGTCAATCCCATCCAATCAAGTACCTACCTATGTGACCGTGATGTTTTGACACAAAGTAGAGTAGATCGGCATTTATTCCGAAGTGACTTTATTCCTAGAGCTCTACTCGTCATATCTACTCCTATATACGCTCTATTAAATAAGAGTAGATAAGCTTAAGATATATATTTATAATATACAAGTTTAGGCCTATAAATTAAATTCATAGAGTTAGATTTTTCTAAGTTAGATCGAATTTTAATTCTAATTCTAAATATAAATCGAACTCTAATCGCTGATTATATATTTTTAATCTACTTTTATTATTATAAAATTAATAAAGAAGATAAAAGCTCTAACTCTAATTTAAATTAAACTCTACTTACTTTTTATATAATATTTAATTTACTTCTATTAATAAATCGCTAACTAATTATATTCTTATTTAAAAAAAAATCTACTTAATAATCTTATTTTTAATATATCTTATTAATCGAGTAATTTATTTTCTTAATAATCGAGTAAGTTATTTTCTTAATAAATTATCTAAGATTATAATTAATAAATTAATCTTATTAATAATTTAACTTAGAATTATATATAATTAATTATAAATAAAGATTTTAAGATATAAATATAAATCGATTTATTATAATTTTAAAATTAGAATTTATTAATCGTTATATTAAAGATTAACTAAATTAAAAATTAAATATATTAAAAGAGAGTATATAAATTATTCGAATTAGACGAAGTTAGAGAAATATATAATATTATTTATTATTTATTATAAGTAAAGATTTATAAATTAAATTTATATATTTTTTTAATTAGAGCTATTAAGTAAATAGATTAATAATCTTTAATAAGCGAACTTTAATAAGCGATATTTAAATTCCTTACGCTTTAATAATTATAAGATTAAATTTAAGAATTTTTTTTCTTTAAAAGCCTATATTTTATTCTATAATTAAAAAAAAATCTTAAAATTTTAATAGAAAATAAAAAAGTTATTTTAAAATTAAATAAAATATATCTTTTTTTAAATTAAGACTATTCGGCTATCGAGTAATCTTTAATAAACGAATTTTAATAAGCGATATTTAAACTTTCTATACTTTAATAATTTATTATAAGATTAAATTTAGAAATTCTTCTTTTATTTAAAAATTCATTTTTTATTCTATACTTTAAAAAGAAAAAAAAATTTAATAGAAAATAAAAAAGTTATTTTATATATTAATAACGTAAATTTTTTTTTTAATAAGAGAGTTTAAGAGAGTTAGCGAGCTAATTTAATCGATTTAATTAAAGAGTATAATAACTTTAAATTTATAATTAACTATATATATAAATTTAAATTAATTTAAATTAATTTTATTTTATTCTTTTATATATTATAAGTAAAGACTTATAAATTAAATTTATAGAGTTAAATTTTTCTAAGTTAAATCGAATTTTAGCTCTAGCTCTAAGTTAAATCGAACTCTAATCGCTTACTATACGTTTTTAATCTACTTTTACTATTATAAAATTAATTTAATCTATATAATATATATATATATAAAGAGAGACGCGCTAAGGTCTAATGAAAAAGATATATTAAATATAAAGAATTAATTTATAATAATTATTTATAAAAAATAGAGAAAGATTATATTCTTATAGTAAGAAGTATCGAAATATTAAAAAGAAATAAAGATAACGTATTAATTAGTGGTGTAAATTCTATAATATCTTCTATCGTAGTAAAATTTTTCGAATAATAAAATAGTTATAGATATTAAACGATTTTAATTCGTTTAAATATATATTATTCGATATTTCTTCTATAAAGATTTAATTAGCTATAATTATTATAGTAGATTCTTCTCTTATAACGTTATTATAGTAATATACTATATTAATATAATAAGAATAATAGATTAAGTTATAATAATATTCTTCGCTTACTAAGTAATAATTTAATATAAAATTATAGTAATATAGCATTGCGGAAGCCTTTTATAGAAGTCTCTAGTAAAGTCGTTTCTACTAGATCTAAGAGGCTTAAAGAGTCTAGACTAAATATATATTAGCGTCTTCGAGCTTTCTCTACTAAAGCAGATTTCTAGATAGTAAAAATATATCTTCTTTTTATATTATAACTTAATTTATAATAATATAATAATAATACTCTAATTACTTATAAGTATTAATAGTTTATACTTATAAGTATATCTAGTATTTTATTAATACTAATACTAATATTTATTTAAATCTCTTTCTTTAAATAACGCTTTCTCTAGATTAATTTAAATTATATTATTATTAATAGCTATATTAAGCTAGCTTCTATTACTTTTTTAAATATTATAATTACTATTATATTAGCTTTCGAAAATATCTTATCTACTCTTTATTTTATTAATAATCTTATATATATTATATATTAAATTTAAGTATTTATAAAAGATATTAATTAAATTTAAGAGATTTCTTATAAAATAGTAATTACTATCTATTATATTATAATTATTTATATATATTTAAAGTTAATAATTATAAGATCTAAGTAAATATTAAAAAAGCTCTTTTCTATATATTAAAAGATAGATTTCTTATTACTTCGATATTCTATTAAAGCCTTTAACGATTATATAATAAATCTTAGAGCTACGCTAGCTATCTAATATTTCTTTAAATATTATAAGCCTTTCTTAATAGATAATATATTAATATTATTACGATCTATTTCTCTACTTATTAAGCTAATTACGCGAGTAAGATTTACTATTATATTAATAGACGAAGCTATCTATAATCGACTAATTAGACCTTAGCTATCTACTATCATAATATAAGAATTTATAAAAATATAGCTCGCTAAGCTATAGGCGATAATAGTAGAATTTTATATTATATTAAATCTATTTAAATCTTTAAAAGATTTAGAGTTATTAAATAAATTAGAATTAATTAAAAATAGCGATAATAATAGTAATAGAGCTAATCGATTTAATCTAGATAATATTAATTATTTTAATTTATTCTATAAGAGTAAGTCTATTAATATTATCTCGATAATAGAATACTCTAATAAGAGTATCTTCTTTCAAGATATATATGTTTTTATTAATTAAGTTAAGAATATAGTACGAGCTAAGGGTAACGTGCTACTACGATAGAACCTTTAAATCTATCTAAGAGAAATTATATTTACTTAATTTACTACTAAACTAACTAAGAATAATAAACGCTTAATTATTTATAATATAAATAAGTAATATTATCTACTACTAGTACGTTAATAATTATTATATTCTTAAGATATAATAATTCTATTATAAGAAAAGTATTTGATATAAAATATCGCTTATTATTAAAAGCTATAAAAGTATACTTAAACGATTATAAGAGTAGTTTAAAACGCGGATATAAATATAATAAAGAATTATATACTACTTATCTAGAATAGATTAAATATAAAATTCTAGCGAGATATTTTAGAGTTAGAAGCTATTACTAATTATAATTAATTCTTAAAATTACTTAATAAGTAAAAGTATTAATAGTAGAAGTATATTAGTCGCTATTAAACTTTATATTTTTAATAGTAATAATAAAGAAGAATAGATTCTTATAGATATTTATCTCGATAACTCTAATTTTAGTATTAATCTTAATCTTAAGCTTATTAGAATAATTAATAGTACTTATACTCGTAAAAGTCTTTTATATATGGGAATGCTTATTAAAGTAATTAACGTCTCTTAATCTATTAAAGCTATTAAAGTAATTAGTAATATTTATAAATATATTAAAATACTTAAGAAGACGTCTATATCTCGCTATTAGCGTCGCTAATAAGATTATAAATTATAGTGCCTTTAATAGTAGAAGAAAATATATTAGATTTAAGATTATTTAATTATTAATCGCTTTATTTAAATAGCGATAACTATTAAAATTAAAATTAAAATAAATTTTAATTACGTCTATAGCGAGTGTATTAAATAGCGATTAAGAAAGATAATAAGAATAAATTAGATTTATTATAAGACTACGAAATTAGCTAAGATACTTATATTAGCTATACTTTATATTAATCTAAAGTATTTAAAGTAATATCGATAAAAAAAATTAAGAGTTATTATAATTATAAAATATATAATAACTTCGCTTATAATAGTTATAAAGATCTTATTAAAGGTTATTTCTTAAAGATAATATCTATTATAGATTATTAATATAAGTATTACTAATATAAAATTATCTCTTATAATAAGCTTTTTAATTATTTTTAAAAAGAGTATTAAAAAAAGTCTTTTATAAGTATTACTTCTTTTATAAATACTAGTAAGAACCTTATTATAGATATCTTAATCTTTAAATCTAAAAAGTCTATTATAGAATCTTTTATTATTCTATTAATATCTAAATCTATATTAGAAATTAAATATATCTTTTAAAATTATTACTATATTATTATTTATATTAATTAAAAGCTAATAAATAAAAAGAAGAAGTCTTATATTAATATTAATTATATTATAACTATAGCTAATTAGACTTTTATTTCTATTTCTATCGAAGTTAAAAAGATAATTACTAAGATCTTAATTCGAGGTCTAAGATCTAAGATCTATTATTCTAACGAGTATACGATTCTTATCTTCTATATAGAAAACGTACTTTTAGATAATATATATATCTTTATTTAGATTACTCGAGAGATCTACGTTATTAATAACTTTAAAGCTAGTATATTAATTAAAATTAATATTCTTATATTAGAACGAATAAGTATTAACTTTACTACTTAATCTATTAAGATAGATAATTATCGAAATATAACTATACTTATAAATTTATATATTCGCTCTAAATCTATTAAGCGAATTATAAAGTTATTATCTTATATAATTCTATCTTCTTATATTACGATATAAGTATTAGTAGC